TTTTGCGGTACTTTTGGCAGGTGCCTGCTTGCCGCTGTGCCGAAGCTCTGAGTGTCTCGGCTTGGTTTTGGAAGGTTTGTCCAGTCCATGCGCTCCCTGCTTAAACTTTGTTACGGCAGTGGAAGAGTGCAAGGGAGAGAGCATGCAGTGACTTCATGTGCTAAATTGCTTTGCTTTTAAAGCCGAGCATGGCCTGCCATGCAGACTTCTGGGGGGCGCAGGTGTGTTTTTGCTTCCCAGAGCTGACAGTCCCAGAGGATGGAAATTCCAACCAGACGGGATGTCCTTCCCATGAGCCATCAGTCTTTTCTTCCTGCTTGACTGCCAGGTACGTTCAGGTAGTCCACACCTGCTGTGCCATTGAATGTGCTGCATACATGTGCGCATCCTCCCGTGGCCGCTGTCTTGTGAGCGGATGATGGCAGCCCAGCAGGGGCGTTGCTGCTGCCTTCTCTCTCCTAAATGTGATATTGTTTTTGGGAGGTGGAGGAGAAGGGGCTTTACCGAATCTGTTTCCATAACAGGGCCTGATGGCACCCAGCCAGAGTAAAAGCCATTTAGGGCTGTTGGTCTGGGATCATTTCCACTGAAAGGACACCATGGAAGCCAGACTCTTAAGGCCCTGCATTTAGCCATCCCACTGCGTCCTCCCCCAGGGATTTGTTGCCTTCCCCATCTCTTGCCCCTGGTTTGTGAGATTGAGCTCTGCTCCTGCCTGGCCCTCATGAGCAGGGTCAGGACCCCCAAGTTGACAGCCCACTTCCTATCAGAAGGGCATCTGATTTTGTTTGCAGTATAATGGGCACCCTCTTCTCCATGCGCGCCTCCTGGGATGCAAAGGGATGATGGGAAAACCCTGGGATTGGCACTTGATTTCAGAGCCTCTTTGCCATAGGCTCCATCCACCGTTTTGGCCAGGCGTACTCGTAGCTCTCTGCTTTTCTTCCTAAATTCACCAGGACTTGATGAGGATGCACTTCTTACATGACCGGAGAGCTCAGGTGTTCCAGCAAGCAGGGTATGTTTGCATTTAAATAGACAGTAGGCACATCTACATGTTCACCGTTACTGCACAGTAACTGAAAATTAATGTGCAGTACAGGCATGTGTATACACGTACACGCCTGTACTGCGCAGTAACTATCTCGATGTAAGCCTCAGTTGTTACTGTGCAGTAACCCTGTTTGTGTGGACTGATTTGGGATTAACTTTAGTCCCAGGTCAGCCTACACACAATCTTACTGCACTGTAATGCCTGCAGGTGTAGATGTTAGTATAAAATTCGCTTACTGTGCAGTAAGTTACTGCACGGTAAATGCACATGTAGACACACCCAGTGAGAGGTTAATACTGCCTCCAAAATTCAAAGGAAATGATACTTTACAAAACCTCCCTGGTTCTTAAAACCTTGTAGCTTCTTCCCACTCTCTTTGCAGGCTGCACCAGTGCTGTGGATTGGACAGCTCTGTTGTGCTAGTGCTCAAAAAATAGGGGATTGTGTGTGGGCATGAGGGGACCTGAGGTGTGTGCTGTTTGTGCCTTGTCACATGCTGTTGGCATGCATTTTGGCTGAGGATAGGATAGCTGGAAAGCGAGCTAATTGGCTAGCTTTGTGCTTGTTAACTGCTACAGGCCACAGAATAACATTTTTACATCTGGTATCTTTCTGTGTTGACCCCTTGGTTGCGACATAAGAAGAAAGTGAACATAGTCTCTCCAAGGGATAGTGTTGGGACCAGCTGCCAGTTGGAGCAGTTCGATAGGTGCCTGGCCCCTCATAGTTGAGTTTGATGGACTCTCTTTGGGAGATTTTCTGGTGCGCCTTTCATCCTGGATCATATCGAAGAGCCTGAGATGGTGTCTGAGCCCAATGTAACCATATGTTTGAGGGCTGGGGTGGGTAAGTGGAATTGTTCTTAATTAAAGCAGGTGGGTGTAGAGGCATAGAAAAGGGGCAGGCTTCCCTTGTAGTGTCACTGAGTTAGGTGGATTAGAGCTGCAGCCTTAAAGTGGATTGGGGAAAAAGGGAAGGGCACTGGGGAAGCATCTGCAGGCCTCAGCGAGCAGAGTTGCTCCCTTATTGGAAGCCCTTGACCTGGGTGCAACAGGGTGTGGGGGCTCGAGCTGGCAGGACGCAGGCCTTGGCTGCCTGCTTCAGGAGCCTGTGCCTACAGGAAGCCACAGGGTGGTAGGAGAATTTGTCTTTCCGGGTGTCATTTGCTGCAATACGATTAGTCACCCTGGTTATTTAAAACAGGGAGTGTGTGTGCATGCGTGTTTGGGGGGGAGTGGAATTGGTGACGTTTCCTTAAAAGGCTCCAAGCCACTCGGCCTTTCGAGTTACTTTGACAGGAGCAAGCGGCGTGTGTTTGTCAGCTTTGCCCACCTGAGTGTGAAATGATGTTCTATCAAAACACTGGTTTCAGCATTTCCCTCTCCGCTCCTGACATGTGAACCCTGCTGCGGACAGTAACTGCTGCTTTCTGCCCAGGAATTTCACTGATATTGCAGTACAAGTGGAAACATTTGCTCAGTGGTAATGATGGGGTCTGGCTCAAGCAAGCAAGGCAAGGTTGGAAGGCTATGATTGTGGAGGACTAAATAGCATCGCTCTCTGCATTTTTTTTTTTCTTCCCCAGTCAAATGATGGAGTCTTAAAGTCACAATGTCCTTTTTTGTCAGTAAAACCTCCTGCTTTATGCTCTCTAATTTCTCAATTGAATGCCAAAAGCAAGTTATACTTATCAGTTAATAGGCAGGGAGGCTGCGAAGTGTAGGAGAGGTTGCGTGAGGCATCACCTTTTCTTTTTTTTTTTTGGTAACGTGATGAAGATAATGATTTTTCAAGCCAGCGTCTGTGGTAGCAGGGAAGTCGGGATGTTTGCGTCCTGTCAGGGGAGTTCACCTGGGTTCTTTTTTTATTCCATCGGCCGTTTGGCATTTACACAGGATAAAGATGGAGAGGGAAGCAGCGAGCAAGAGAACGTGACGTCCCGGGTTCTTTTGCATACGACCATTTAGTGCCAAGACTCTTTGAGGGTAAAATGTGATGCCAACTTCTCCTACCTAAACTAGATCCTTTCTCTCTCACCTTGTTGCTGCAGCACATTGCCCCGGGACAAAGCTGCGCCTCTTTAGACCCACAGTTTGCTACTAAAATCCTATTGTTGCTGGACCTGCCACACTCCCACTTTCACCCTCTGTGCTCCCTCTCCTGGCTGCAGATCTGCACCATGGACCTTGCCCCTTCCTCCCTCGCTCTCCCGTTTTCTCGCTGCCAGTGCCTGATGTCCCCAAGCCCCATGTTTTTGGCACCTAGCACCGTTCCACTGATTCTTCCCACCCCACTGTCCTGCTCTCTCCCAGGGCAGGGTTTGCCAGCTTTTCAGATCTGTGCCCTATCATGCAGCGGCCAGTTTGAGTCTGCCGCATGTTATTACACCAGTGATCCTGTATCATGGAAGCTCCAACAGCTCCACAGTTAAGGTTGAGTTGACTTTTGGGTACAGAGCAGTGGATTTGACCAAGTCGTTACACCTGAAGGATACAGCATCCTTGCTGCCAAAGCCACCGCATCATTAACTCCTTGAGCTCACATTGAATTTTCTGAGAACCGAGCAGTAAATTCATTAGAGCAGACTTAAAAAAACGGACCATTTATGAAACGCAACCTTCTTGTACTGCTAATGGTCAGCCACTCACCGTGTGCATCTGCAGCCTCCTCCTGCAATCCGCGTTTGCATCTAATAGAGATTGGAGCTCAACTCTGAGCTTTCTGCGCTGTGGGAAGTTCTGGGTCAGGTCTGAATTTTGTGCCTCGCACTGTTATCTCAGTTGTGCCTACCTAGCAAAAACCAGTCCCTCCTGGCTGACCTGCCCAAGATGTGACTAAAGAGTCCCTGGTCTGACTTTTTCAGC